AAAGGGGCGCTCCAGAAGTATGTGTACTAATATGGAGATAACTAATTTCGTTCGCCTACTTTACATCAAGTTGTGTAAAGGTACTAAAACCTATGTACAGGGGAATATTTACTTGGCTACCACAGACAGTCCCCGAACTCGTAATAGAACTAAAATAAGGAAAATCGGAATAAAATTATGGCTAACTTTTACATGGTACACAGTACACACACCACGGGAGTACCCTGGAAGGTTCATTGCTATTTTGACACCATTTTCAATTTCCCTGGGTTAGGTTAGGAAACAATCCTGTTTTTTTCTGGAAAAGAACGACAATCTAAGATAAATAGAATTAAACAAAACAAGACAGATATTCAGTGACGAGGCTATGGCTGGATATAGTACCCTGTTCATATACACCTACCCACTATTTATTGTTGCAAACATTAAAATACTGCCATATCATTGTTATTATGTATTAAATAACTTAAATAAATTATGTATTATGGAGAAATTAATCGCTTTTGTTCGGCCAAGATAGAATAGCTTATTTCGAACAGTATTTGTTCTTATGAAAGTTTTGCAGGTATTTAGATGATATATATAAACATCCATTTATATTTTCTTTGGTTAGGTCGCAACATTTTTTATTTTGTCACGAAAAATGAAGAATTCAGCTAGTCTAACTTATCCTAAAAAAACAGCGTAGAAAGTTAGTTGTGCGCAATACCACTGTATAAATACTAATTTCTAATATACACTTACCTAATATTTTATTTTTCAATCAATAAAATATCGCTGAAGGGCCCAACATTTCATAGGCTAATAGCAATTTTATAGCTTTCGTTTACTCTGTGAGCCATAATAAATATATACCGTACTTTGTTAATTAATATTCATCTTTTTGTCAGTTTCACGGGTATTTAGACAATATTTCTAAAGGTTTATTACTATTTTGGCAACCTTCATATTGCCTGAGTTTAAAATTGTTATTTTTCCAAGGGAAAATACGCTACAATTGATAACTAGCCTAACTTATGACAAACAGAATTGAAGAAGACAAATCAGAATTTGAGCAATTGTAAACTGCTTGTCTGAGGAAGTCTGACTTTGGTCGGACGAAACTCTTGAATTGCATAGTATAGTCATGTTCACTCCTACTACAGCATCCTTGCAGTATACGCATACGTCTCGCGCAACCCAATTCGAAGTTACGTCAGAATTTAAGTGGCGGGCAATTCAGGACAGCGCCATAACCCACCTCGACCTAGAATAAACGATCTAACGAAACAGATCATATAATTAATTAGTGACGGGGTAATGACAAGATATAAGAGCCTTTCAAAATATACGCCCAGTAACTGCCAATGATATTACGTGTAAAAAAGTTCATGGCAAAATCAATGGCGCTCCCGAAGTATGTGAACCAAGATCGCGGACATCGTAACGTAGTATGTGTACCAGGTTAGTGTTAGACCATAATTTTATTCCAATTTTCCTTATTTTAATTCTATTACGAGTTTGAGGACTAGCCAAGTGACTCCCGTGGTATTTGTGTCTGAAATTGTGGCCTAACCCTAACCTGGTACACATACTACGTTTCGGTGTCCGTTATCTTGGTTCACATTTTTCGGGAGAACCAAATTATTCGCTTGTGTTAGGCCAAGATTGAGTAGTCTATGTTGAGTATAATTTATCTTTATGAAAGTTTCACAGCTATTTAGATTTAGGCAGTATTCTGAAAGTTTTATTACTGTTTTGACATCTTTTTATATTACTTGAATACGTGGTGAAGTATCATTAGGCCGCTCCGAATGTTTAAATTGAAGGTTAGCGTTAAATTCGCACGTACTTCTGTAATTAATCATGCTCTAGTAATGCGGTTGATTGCTGTGATTATAAATATCGAAATCAATTTAGCTTGGAGTGAAAAACCTGACTATGGTCTCGGGCTGGCTTGGGACATTCTGATGACCATCTCGTTCAGGGTGTAATTAATCGTGTCCGAAATATTTGCCGCGGGAAATTTCGCCACATTGAAGAAGTCGCCGCATGAAAAATTGCCGCAAGAGCATTTTGCTGTAAAACAAGTACTTGTGATAGCATGAAAATCGCCGCAAGAGCATTTTGCAGTAAAACTAGTATTTTTGATAGAGTTGAGGTATGCTCTTGAATAACTTTTTTTTTAATAAAAAGATACTACAAAAACCGAACAGTTTTTATCAGAACTACTTATTTTATAGCAAAATGACCTTGAGGCGATTTTTCATGTCGCGATTTTTCCTATGGCTAATTTTCCTAGAACGTAATGAATTGTGTGGGCAGTGCTGACCCTTTTAGATTTCGATTTTTCCGGTAATAGTGACATTTTACGTATCAGCGGCCGCTCGTACAGAGCCGAATTAAAAAAGAAAATATGAAACGTCCCTCTCCTACCATCCCAAAACGTTTTTAATTGACAGGCAACGTCGAATCGGAAAATTATTATCCGTCCAATCGTGTTCGGAACTGACTTATGAAGCTTTTAAATGGGAAGTGAGTGCCAGTTTCTCGCATACTTTAGTGGTTAATCATGTTATAGAACTGTTATTGATTGTCATACTTATGAGTGGGGAATATAAATTTAGATTGGAATAAAACTAAAGCACCTGCGTAATTTCGTCCATTTCTTACAGTGATTTCCGTCAATATTATTATTTACGCGGTGTCTATCTGTTTGTGGATCGGGTGCGTCATATTGTAATCGTGCGTTTTGACAACAAACAAAATAGGCGCAGCCGTTCTCGGAAAAATATTTACGAGACTATGGTTTTAAAGTTTATATTTGAGGTTACAAATGGAAGTTGTAGGATGCAGTTATATATATTAGTATTATTATTACTATAATTTATTGGTGTTTGGAACTGACGAAGTTTTGCGCACCTGGATTTCTGTTTACTGCTATTTCCCGTCAGCAGTAGGTTTGATTTAACCTAAGGAATAATTTAGGGATTAGACGGCAAATTCATAATATTTATAGAAGATACTACAATAGGAAAAGTTATAACGGAACAATTATAAAATGTTCGACGGTTTCTTCTCGACTTTGCGACTCGCAAAGTTTAATTTTTATGTCTGCTGAATTCGATTTTTGTGACTGCTTCTCAAGCGTGTAAACTAATTTTTCAACCCCCTGACCAGCACTAAGTGAAGATGTGTGAATCAGATAATTTAATATAATAAGAGCAATAAATAAATTATTGGTCACAAAGTGTGCACATGGATAGTTTTGGTGTTATGTTGTTGTTGACCTTGTTGGAGTTTTTTCTTCTTTTTGTTGTAAAAATCGTTTCCTTCATTACTATTAGACTAGTCACTAAACCAATTGCTTTGAAATTTTCAGTGGTTAAAGATTGTTGCTGTCGTCGCTAGACTGTGTCACTCTGACAGATTGCATACTCGTACTGCTTCTATTTGGCCTCCGTGTCCATTGAAGCATCGCTTTTTTCAGCCATCGTTTTCTAAAGCAGTTTCGATCTACTGCATTTGCTGATGATTCTCGCCCATATGCTATACGCCAGGGGTCGGCAACCTACGGCCCGCGAGCCGGATCCGGCCCGCAGGGCCCTATAACCCGGCCCGCGGCGCTTTACTAAATTATAGTAACAGAACATTCGTTTTGACGAATATATTCTTTAGACTAAATTATATTATAACCTAACAATTATATATTTCACAATTACTCGTTTAATGAGCATATAATTTAATTATAATTAAACAAATGGCAACAAAACGCAGAAAAGTTGATGCTAAGTGCAAAGGGTTCAATGGCGCTGAAAATATTCAAATGGAATTTTATGAGATGCAATGAGGAAATAAATCTATATTCTATTCGAGAAATGTATCACTGCTTGATTTTTATTATGAAAAATGTACCATCCGTTCGGTTTTTCAACTTTCTGAAAATATGTGCGGCCCGCCGAAGACTTGCAACCTTAATTTTGGCCCGCGAGCGACAAAAGGTTGCCGACCCCTGCTATACGCAATTAATTGTATTGCATACTCTAGTTTGTTAACAATATTTCTATTTCAAACATTTAGTCGGGAAATTCGGCTTTTTGGGATCTTTCGTAGCCAAGCTGGAAGTTAAGTTTTGTGCTAAATCAGGCCTTTTCTGTCGTGAAAATGTTTTTGCGGGGTGACCCTAAAGAAACACAATCCAGGTCATTCAAAAAATATTCTAGAGACGACCTAATTTTTGTGCATAACGTATTAGATTACTGAAACCATTGAGGCAAAATCATACGTAAGCCGAAGTTTAAGTGTCAAATAATTTTTTTGTTTTCGTAAAAGGAATTGAAAAATTATGGGTTTTGTTTTTTTAAACACCCTATAAATGTAGACAACGTAAATTGTCGCTCGCTAGTTTTATCAGCGGTTTTTCACTTCTTGTAGATCAATTTTATGCGGTCAATTTTGGATTTTGCAATTTTTTAATGTTTGTGGACTTACTTTTTCTGAAGCTGTATTATTTCATTTATGACATTGTTTCAGGAATATTAAAAACAAATATTTACGCTAAAAATCTTAGCTATTAAATATGGGGTACGGCAACGTGTTACCCCCGATTAAAAATCAAATGGTGGAAAAACGACGAAACTGGGTCATGAGGGTGAGGTTTGGGCCCCATTGGTCGAGTTATAAGGGAGATTATGACATCATTGACGATAAATGGATTGTAAAAGGAAAGATGATGAATATGGTACTTGTTGGATTATTTATTACCGATGACATGACTAACGATATGACGTCGTAGTTACGTCGTGCAAGAATATATTTTTAGTTTTCATGCTGTTAATTTTATTGTATCATTTCAAAACAAACTTTCTAGGTTGCCTCTTATCAGCCCTTGTGACGTCTCCACTCACAAACGCACTTGGATTACTTATTCCGATTACGTCATGGATAATATGACGTCACTGTTACGTCCTACAAGAGGGACGATATATTTTTAATTTTCATGTTCACTTGTTTTATTCCAGAACACATTTATGAGATTACCTCAGATATCTCGTGACGTCACTACTCACAAACGCCAGCTAACGAACGGGAAAAAGGAAAGAATATCATTCATGGCATTCAACAGTCTAGCACGTTCAGTCGGTAAGTTATCTGAAGCCTCATAATTAAATCTCATTATAATTGGACACGTCAGTGTACATAACGATCGTTTCAATATTATGTTGTTGTTCTTGTTTGTATTTATTCTTCTCCTTCGTCATTATAAAATCGCTTTTCTCTTCGAATACTGGACCAATTGCTTTGAAATTTTCAGTGGTAAAAGATTGATTTTTTTGCCAGAAGGCTATTACTTTTACTTATTTCAAAAATTTATGTCTTGAAGAGATTCGTTTTTTATGTGTCAGAATAAAAAATAGCAACACCTGGTGACCTGTCCATATATTTGAGCACAGCTCTCTTGTTGATCTTCGGTTAAAAAGGTTCCGGCACTGGCGGTTGTTGTTCTCAGTTGTTTTAATTTGCCTTGGTTCCCCACGGCTTCACTTTTCAGTAAAATTGTGTGTCTAATTTTTTGTATTTAATTTTTGAACTGACTGAAAAAATAACACTGACTATAACTATATAACTCGAATCCGACATTCCCAAGAGAAAAGGTGGTTCGACAGAAGCTAAAATTGATAGTGAGATAAAGAACGTCAAGTTATACGTGAATCATTCACGAATATAGTAAAATTGTGTTGCGAAAGACGTTTGTGTCTCGCTGCGAATGCTGTATGCTCCCCAGAACCCCTCACACATGGCTACACCAATGGTGACGAATTAAAGTCAAACTGAGTCTCCATTCATAGAGACATCACTTTTTTTGAATTTTTTGCATTTTATGCTGGCACTCTTTTTTTTTTTTGTATTCTTTTTGGTATCATTATGAAAAAAAATCGCTCTCCTATTCGATTACTGGACCAAATGGTTTGAAATTTTCAGTGATTAAAAATTAATTTTTTTTCTAGAAGGCTATTACTTTTATTTATTTCAAATATTCCGGTGAGCTGCATGACATTGGTTTTTTTTTTGTGTGCTAGACGTCATTAAAATTTGCGCTATGTGGCGCCACGTGTCCATATATTTGAGCATAGCACTCTTGTTTATAAATAAAATGAAATGTATTTCATTTCAGATGACCTCCACATCTCAACTAATATTCCAGCATGCACTGCTGGGCGAGACATGGATGACGTCATAACCGAAATTTCCTTCCAAAAAGGCGAATTTGAAAACAGAAGAAACAGTTGTGGAATCGAAGGCACAAGCCTACGAACTGCTCCTAGTGGGGTTGGAAGGAGAAGATGGTCGGACAGTGCAGCAGGACAATTGGGAGGTGTGGAAGGGGGTGTGTTACAGTCGGGACAAGTGCGAACCAATCAGGAGCGGGGAAGAACGTTGGGACTTCAGCAACGACCAATGGTATGTGTTAGAATTGTGGTCTGCTTACCGTTTCATCTAGATCACGTGGGTTCTCAAACTTTTTAAGCCACGCCCCTTTTTAGAATTTGTCAAGTCTCGCGCCCATTTCGAAAATAACTAGATAACAATAAGCTACAAATAACAGATAGTAGAATAAGGTAGATATATTTATTTTTTTAAAAATAAGTTCAAAATACGTGGATGGAATGTAAATATTTAAAATAAAGCGGGCAAGATCGAGGCTAACAAATATTTTTATTTTTTATTAGCTTCACCCCCCCCCCAAATAAATTGCCTACGACCCCCCAATTGTGGGGCGCGCCCCCTCGCTTGAGAACCGTAAGTTGGGTGGGTGAACAATGCCGAACCAGAATAATTTCAATTCTTGCTGAATTTGACAGTTTTTTAGGTATAAGTAGAAGCTGGCACAGTGAAGTCGTGGAAAAGCCTTACAAAAAAATTTGCTTTTAGACAAATATCTGATCTCTAGATTAGGTCCACCATATTTGAAAAAAGGAAAATTCCGGACAGTTCATGACCTCGTAGTAAAAAATATTCGCACGGTACGAAATAACAATGTTCTTTATTAGCAGTGTGCATAGTACGATTGCAGATGCAGTAAAATTCCTGATTCCGGACATTTGAGCATTTTTTAAATTCTTCTCGGACGCAAAATTTAACTCTAGATTCCGGACATGTCCGGAATTTTCCGGACGGTATGGTAACCCTAAACTAGATTCGCTATATCACCATCCAATTCAGCTTTATTTGCCGATGCTAATGCATCTCACGACGCCAACTGAACACGTAGATTTCGGACTATCTCTCTAACCTTGAACTTGCCACAATATTGCAACCGCCTTCAAGTGAAAAAAAAATCAGTAAATTTATTAGTCTTTTTGTGTTATGATTGCTGCGTAATTTTTTTTTACCAAGCTATTTCACATCTTGCACCCCGAACCAGGCCCGGTACAAAAAGCTTTATCGGCTTTATTCTCTGTGTCAAAATAAACATAAATTTCTGGCCTAATCCTGCGTTTTTTTGAAATTGAAAATTCGAATAACCCAAATATATTCTTCAGAATTTAGTTAAGTCGGACACGGCTTGCATTACACAGAATGCGGATGAGTTACTGCAGGAATACAAAGAATTCGCTAAAAGAAAAGACGGAATTCCGGAACTACATGAAACCGGAAAGGCAGGAATAACAAACAACGGCGAGGGAAGGTTTATTGCGTCCATGTGAGTTGGACTAGAAATATTATTTTTTACCTGATTTTTTTTCATTTTTCGACGATAACTATGCGCAGCGGTGGACGCGTTGGTCTAATGATTCAGGGCTCATGCGTTGCCTTAGCACAGTGGTTCCCAAACTAGGGGTAATTACCCCCAAAGGGGTAATTTGACAATTTTTAGGGGGTAATCCATTCGTTCAATGTCCTAAAATTTATGACCATTAAAGCAAAATATTTAAACAAGCTGGTGACTGACACCGATTCAAAATAGTGTCTGTCGTCCACTTTTCCTAGGTTCAATCGCTTGAAAACGCAGAAACAATGTCATCCTTCTCACTGAGAATAATTCGGGATTCTTGTTCCCATGCTTTTGGATTCCTATGTTATTAAATTAAATGAATTATGCGCTAAAAAAATATTTTTATGAAAGGGGTAATTGAGCTTTGGTAAATCGATTTTGGGGTAACGGTAGTGAGAAGTTTGGGAACCACTGCGGACGCGTTGGCCTAATGATTAAGGTCTCATGCGTTGCCTCAGCAGGTAAAATTTCTAACTAAAGAATTACCGCTCTACATTGCGGACTTTTTCAAATATTGACACTCAAAAACTATGATAATTCAATGAGTAACCCCTGAATTATATGAAAAAACTGCGCTCCAGAAGTATGTGTACCAATATAGAGGTAACTAATTTTGTTCTCCTACTTTACATCAAGTTATGTAAAGAGACTAAAACCCATGAGTAAGAAGTATAATTTCTTGGCTAACACAGACAGTCCCGAACTCGTGATAGAAATAAAATAGGAAAAATCGGAAAAAAATTATGGCCTAACCTTAACCTGGTACATACACTACGGCAGTACCAAAGGGCTGGCTCATTCTCCAATACCGCAAATTTATCAATATTGTATTACTTTTTAGCAACTCTCAAAGAGGAGCAGAATATTTTCATTCAAATCAGGTGGCGAGAGATAACGGTATCGGAGAACTGTTTTCAAAATCGAGGTCGCGGTCCAATGGTTTACCGAACGCTTCTATAACCGGAAAACCAAAACCGAATCGGAGGCAAACGACGAATATGAATCTATTCAGAAACGTAAGTATATAGGAATGTGCTGACGATAGGAAAATCAGCTTCAACTGTTTGAGGATCTCACAAGTAATGATGTAATTTGATACTATAGAACAAAGTATCTCAAGGTATTATTGGCAATTTAACATATTTGGTACTCCCGAAGTACATAAACCAAGGAGGAGGACACCGGAACGTAGTATGTGTACCAGGTTATGATTAGGCCGTAATTTCAGGTACAAATACTACGGAACTCATTTGGCCAGTCCCCGAACTCGTAATAAAACTAAAATAAGAAAAATAGGAATAAAGTTATGGCCTAACCCTTACCTGGTACACATACTACGTTCCGGTGTCCGCCATCTTGGTTCACATACTTCGGGAGCGCCTTTTCATCTACTTATTTTTTAATTTTCCTAGCGTTCTGTTAAAATAATGCAGCCAGCTGTAATTATCACATTTACGTTCAAATTCACCTAAATTTAAATGATTTTTACATTTACATCCTTCTCTACTATTATTCAGAAACGCGGAGTTCTTATTCCATCAGGAGATAGTTCTGGCGGTCGTCGCCTTTCCGTTGAAGCAACAACGAGTAAGACAGGGTCTGCAACAAGGATGCTGCAGAAACGAAGCAGTCGAATGCTAGGCGGGAAACGATCGAGCACTCTTCGAAAATCTGACATGAATATGAAACCTAAGAAGGTGCGTTTGTTGGGCAGGATAGACCAATAGGATAGGATTTACATGTTTATCCCGGGGGAGAGAAAAGCCGATAAGACGGCTTAATCATATGGCGAACCACGGCCTCTCGTCCGGTTACCAGCCCAGGTCAGAGATTAGTTAGCCAGGTATTGTTTTCGGATGCATGGACTTGATGGTGGAGGAAGCCGTAACCGACCAGCGGTTACGTGAACCACCCAACGACGGCGAGGAGTCCAGCAATCCTCTCGCACATAACCATCCCTGCATGGGATTCGAACCTGCGAACCCACGCAGAGTAATTAGAGATGCGGTGGCGAGCGTATTCCTAACGCTTAGCACGATGCGCCACATCGCCGAACCCGAGACCAATAAAGGGATACTAAAATATTTTCGCCGAAGATAGGATAGGATAGGATTTACATATTTATCCCGGGGGGAGGAAAGCCGATGAGACGGCTTATCCATATGGCGAACCATGGCCTCTCGTCCGGTTACCATTCCAAGTCGGGTATGGGATTAGTTATATTGTTTGTTTTCGGAAGCATGGACTTGGGGGTGGAGGAAGCCGTAACCGACCAGCGGTTACGTGAACCACCCAACGACGGCGAGGAGTCCAGCAATCCTCTCGCACATAACCATCCCTGCATGGGATTCGAACCTGCGAACGCACGCAGAGTAATTAGAGGTGCGGTGGCGAGCGTATTCCTAACGCTTAGCCCGTTGAGCCACACCGCCGCGCCTCGCGATCCGTGTACAAAACTTCAAAATTACTGAGACCCGGTTTTTTAAAAGAATATATTTCACATTTTGCTTAAATATATTCAGTGTCTGGAACTTTCATTTTAACGCAAAAGCGTCTCGTGGAAAACGAAATACCTGCAAAGATTTTGACATCCTAAACACCCTTTTTAATAATAAAGTAACCTCTAAAAGTATGAATAAAAATTATTTGTCAAAAATAGGGCTGGGCATTTCGAATCGAATATTCGAATCGAATCGAATAGTAAATTATTCGAATCGGTTTAAAGCAAATTTTCGAATCGCCGCCATCTTGTTTTACTCTCTCCGCCAATGGTCGAGATAAATTTCTCAATTTTTTTTCATTGAAGCCATTCATTTTTCAACACAATTCTGACATACGATATTGATGAAAACGTGTTTTTTCTTATTGTCAGTGATGTATTGTATGTTTTCAGTAATTTATGTGTCTGGAGGACCTAAAATAATAAGAAAGTTACATATAATTTCATACCTTTCAAGTATTCGAGATTCGATTCGATTCGAAAAAATTATTCGATTCGATTCTGAAATCATCAGGTATTTGAAAATGCCCAGCCCTAGTCAAAAATGAACTATCACATATCCAAAGTTAATGAGGATAATGCGCACTTGGATTTTCCTCTAAACAATAAAGTAAACATTTGTTTTGTATTTCAGGTTCCTCCGCGTCCAGAGTCGCCTCCGGTTCCCACTGAAGAAGACATGCAGGAGTTACAAGATTTACCGGTTATCCGGAAGTTCCTAAAAATGCCTCCAAGTCGACCGAAAGTTGTTTGTTTTGACTACCCAGTAAGTAGACTTTATCAAGTCTGGCCTGAATCTTGATTCTATTTTTAGGCGTTTTTGCAACGAACAAGGTAACTACTGGTAAATAATGGGTTGATACTATTAGATTGATCGGAATATCTTTTTCTGTGACAACAACACGATTTCCTCTCCCCTGATTGATATAAAAATCCTATCCTACTTTAATATTTTTCATCCAGGGTGTCGATCTGACACACATGGACGTGAAACGAGCGATAGAAAAGGCGATTCCTGGCGCGTTCGAATCCGGCAAAGTTGTTTCTGTTCAGTTCGAAAACGTAAGCGTGAAACTCGCAACAGGAGGATTAGACAACAGGTAAGCATGTAGTAGAATAGTAAGTGTATAATAAGTTGATAATATGGCTTAATTATATGCCGTGCCATGTTTTTTGTCTGGTTGCCATTTCACGTCCGTTATGGTATTAGTCGACCAGTGGATTAGAATTCAGGGCTACTCAACTATTTTCACCAAAGGTCCGTTTACGAAACATTAAAATTACTGGGGTCCGGACATTACAGAAAATTTATTTCATTAAATAAACGAAACTTCAAATGCAATTTTCAATTAAATACAAGAGCAATGAATGGCTTGCAAATATGGACACAAATGTCGCACATCGGTTCCAGTACGACAAACTGTATAGCTGTGTATTTAATCTGTATCAAAATCATCTAAAACTACCAAACGATGCTCATGCTGCCAAAATTAACAAGCAGACGCGGTCCAAATTAAATGGTCAAAAGGTCCAAATTCGGACCGCGGTCCGACAGTTGAGTAGCCCTGGATTAGATTATGAACTTGATGACGGAGGAAGTCGTAACCGACCAGATCATACCCATCATATTGCACATAATTGTATCTTGCAGATTTCGAACCTGCGAACCTAAGCAGGTTAATCAGAGGTGCGTTGCGATGGCGAGAGTATTTTTAACGCTTAGCGCGGTGCGCATATGATGGAACTATGGATCGTGTTGTTAAACAGCTGCGTTTATAATTTTATGGTTCCTTTACTTGGCGTAGTATTACGCACCGCAACTGTAAGATTTCTTATAAAATGTTCATGTGCTTTCAACCGTGATCAGGGAGTCCGTGTCAAAAGTATAGATTGTCGTTGTCCATGTTAGGAAAATTACTCTTCTCTGCAACTAATGCGCGGACTGATTCAGCAATCGGTAATCAGTAGTATATTTTAACACCACATTGGAAAAACACCTATTACTTACCAAATGAAGAAAAAAAATTGCAATCCGCGAGGAGTCGCGATAAATCAGAAGTGATTATCGAGTAGCGACACCTGTGAAATAGTCTAACATTAAATTATAAAAAAGTAAAAGAAGAAATGAAATGTTTTCAACATTTGGCTTCAATTTTGCTGACACTACACAGTGGCCACATTAGTCTCTTGGTCTTTGTGTTTATCTATCTAAAGAAGGGGTTCTCAACCTTTTTTCTGTTAAGTACCTCCCGAGTCACGAAAAATTCAACGCGAACCCCCGGTAATCAGACATCAAACAAAGTTGTGATATATTCACTAACAATTTGCTGCAACAACAATTTATTGATCAACTGCTGTAACAAACTTAAATCTTCGTGTTGATGTTATTTCCCTTGTCCTCCGCCTAACTAATAAATTCTTAATATTTCTCTCAAGTTTCAATAAGCATTTTACTATTACAAAGGTCGCAACACATTATCTTTTTAGATTTTACAGTTTGGCTGTGAAGCCGTGTGTTTCACATTGTTGCGTCACAATCACAACAACGCAAGATCAGGGAAAATCTACGCTGAGTTTCAATTGGCATGCGTTTTCCTCTGTTATTTAACGGATATTAAAAATGAAATACTCGAAAACTCAACTGCCACTCAAGTACCCCTAGAAATCTTTCCGTGGACCCCTGGGGGTTCGCGAACCCCAGGTTGAGAACCCTTGATCTACAGGGTGTCCATAAAGTCCTTTTGCAATTTTGATTTTGTTACGAAGTCAGTTTTCAATATATATTTCCAGGTTTTGTTGTTTTTTAATCGGTAATTATTCAAGTATATTTACTTCATTTAATACATCTGTGAGGGCCAACCAATACATGGCATCGATAAATTTCCTTTGCAATTGAAAAAAAAGCCTTTATGGACATCCTACATGGTGAAAAATACAGTTAGTTCATTGCACAACCGGCAAATGATAGAATAAAAGTTGGCACCCCCTGCTTTAGCAGGTCAGCAATGGATTACCCCATGTTCGCGAGTCGTCTCGTTTTTTTTGGTTTGTAGATTCATCGAATTTTCTTTTTCTCAGATGGCTGATAGAACTCCGTGATTTTGCGACTCGTAATCTCCTAATAAAGAACGGATTGGCGATCGACTGCCCTGAGAAGCATTCATTGGTCGATTTGAAAATACGTGAGTATATCTAAGCATTGTTCAGCGTTTCTCAAACTGGGCCCAAGGGGGAAAGGTTTTCAATGACTATTAGCACTAGGCATCATTCGCGATGACTGCATGCCATTTAAAACAAGAGAGCTATGCTCAAATATATGGACACGTAGCACCACATAATTTTGATGACGTCATAGCAAAAAATAAAAGTAATAGCGCTCTAGCAAAAATATACACTTAAAATTTCAAAGCAATTTGTCCAGTAATCAAAGAGAAAAGCGATGTCTTCAAAACGTGTCAAAGAACAGGAACAAGAACAACCTAATATTGAAACGATCGGTATGTCCACTACGTTTCCAATAAGCTTGAAGTTGGCTTTTTATTATATTGAACGGTGCGCTTAAAATAACTGAAGGAAGCGCGATAAAATCAAAACTAGCTATTTTTATGAAAAAAAAAACAGGAAAGATTTCCAACATCTATGCAGGGTGGTCCAACGTTGTCGGCTCCGCGGGCCACAAAATTATTTTTGCATTGTTTGCGGGCCTTAGTTAATTGATTAATTTTATGACAAAGAACACAAAATGCGATTTTTTGATTACTTTCCGAATGTGACGCGGGCCACGGATAATGAAGCGGCGGGCCACAAATGGCCCGCGGGCCAAGTTTGGACTACCCTGACCCATGGGTACCAACTCACCCCGGAGTATAGTAAATTGGGTAGTAGCAACTTATATACCGTGTTTCCCCGGAACAAGACAGGTTCTCATTTCAATATTCTTTTATTTATTAAAAACTGGAATACGAGATTTTAAAAAATATACAAAATATGAAAACCGATATCCATTTACCTAGAAATAACGCGATTTTATGGACTAGGTCTTTAAGAGTAGAGATTTTGTTTTGGTTGTAAGTGTAAAAGCGCTCAATGAATCAATTTATTTTATCTATTTTAGTCGCTCCACCAAAATCTGATGAATCGACCACCACTAGCGGCGATGAAGAGGAATTTATCACATTCCCTCCCATCAAATATCCTAAAAAAGTTGAAGTTAAACTTAACGACTCAGTTTCAATGGAAGAATATAAACTATATTTGCGACGAACAGCCGCCGAAGAGAAGCTACAGAATGTTATTTTACTTTGTGCTGGCAGAGGAGATAAACTCCTAACTACAATGCTTTGATTTTATTTCTCATTTTATTACTGTTAATAAACTCGTAACATTTTTTACAACTCGTGCAAAATTTGCGCATTTTTGAATTTTTGAGTAGTTTGGCAACAGTTTTGCTATGTATACCAATTCATACGTTTTTACAACAATTTTATACATTCATTCCAACTTTCAACAACAAAGTTACTAACTTATGATGCCCCTTTGCTTTTTCAAGTCGCTTTCTTTGCTTCACAATTCTCCCTAATCAGCAACCATTGGTTAACCGTGTCAAAATTTTCATCTGATTGCCAAACCATTATGAGCACCAGAAATTCCTTGATTCCGACTCTCAGCATTCTTGATTCCAGGACATGGGGTCAGCAATATCAGCTTGTTGAGTTGGCTTATACTTTCCTATATATACGATCTTTCCCAGATTTATCAGTCAACTTTTTATTTACTCATTGGATCTCAACAACCTCTTCCCTGATTGGTCATCTGTTACAATAAATCACCGAACTGTTGCTAGTACCCGCCTCTTACACTCAACTCACGAGTTTTTTGTTTTTGTGGCGCAAATTTTTCTCGTTTTTCCGTTCTATTCAACACTATTGCTGACTTATTGGTATTTTTTTCTTGTAATAAAATTATAACTAACTAAATCTAAGCGGTAGCGGTATCTAAGGTAGCGCTCCAGTGTTCTCTTAAATCCATTCAATTTTCGATACTCCCATGTAGCAGGTTAGGTTAGGCCGTAATTTTATTCCAATTTTCCTTATTTTAGTTCTATTACGAGTTCGGGGACTGTCTGTGTTAGCCAAGTGAATATTCCCCCTGTCCATAGGTTTCCGTCTCTTTACACAACTTGACGTGAAATAGGCGAACAAAATTAGTTACCTCCACATTAGTACACATACTTCTGGAACGCCCTGTTGGGGGCTCGCCCTGTACTTTCAGCCAATGTTGTAGAAAAGCTGTTTAGGACATTTTTAATATCAATAATTATTACGAAAGGACTTCAGGCTTGCAAACTATGCATCGCTTCGATTAAAAATATTAATCCTGGTTCTTGTTAGATGTTTGACGCCATAAAAATTCTTCCTATATTTTACCTTTACAAAATTTTCGATGCTTATTTCAAGTGTATTGCCGCATTAGAGCTTGGAAACAAGAGAGCTATGCTCAAATATATGGACACGTAGCGCCACCCAGTTGGAATAATTTTGATGACGTCATAGCAAAAAAAAAAGTAATATCCTTCTGGAGAAAACTTTTATCTTTAACCACTGAAAATTTCAAAGCAATTGGTCCAGTATTCGAAGAGAAAAGCGATTTTTTAAAAATGGAGACGGAGACAAAGGAGACAAATAACAATAACAACAAAATTTTGAAACGATCGTTATGGCCACTAAACGTGTCCAACACGTATAAAAATCTTCAAATTGACAATTTTTTGACGAATATCGAAGCAACTGTAAAAGTAATGGTAACTAATTTTAGCCTTGGATATTCCTGCTTTTATGACTGCCAATACTAAATTGAACCTCTTCCGAATACAGAATGACCCTGAAGTTTGATTCTACATGACGTGTGGGGTAATTAACGGTTACAGCATTGCAACGCACCACATTATGTTCTAAATAATTGTATCTACATGCGTTGGCAGAATTGATGAACAACAAAAAGTCGAATAGCCAGCTAGCCGGGGATGGGCATGTTTTGGAACCACGGGCGAAAAATTTTGCCCGCTTATACTGGCGGGCCATGTAAGTGTGACGAAATAACTTACATTCTATGAATAATATTTACAGTGTTACAAAATCAAACGTGGAAAACAATAAGCTTCGTGCCAGAACTAAATTTAATCGCAATCCAAATAAATTCCTTAAGAGTTATTTTCCAGCTGAAACATCAAAATTTGGTTTTAGTTTGGTTAGGGCAGCATCGGCGGGCCAGATTAAATTACCAACGGGCCGGATTTGGCCCGCGGGCCGTGGTTTGCCCATGTCGGAACTAGTCGCTTAATGCGATTATGAATTTACACGATGCAGAAGGCGTTAATTGATCCGACCTTCGGTTATATGAAACACTCTGCGACAGCGAAGAGTGGACGAATATTTTCGCAATTACTATCCCCAACAGAATTTGAATCTGCGAATTTACGCATGGAAGATAGCAGGCGACGCCACTATACTTCGCATTCAGCGCTAATAAAGGCCAGTGAAAGTAGGCTTGACAGAAAGCGACTCAAATTGCAAGTTGTGCGGATGTGTGCCGCCTTATTGTGCAGAACTTTGATCAGGGCTGTTTTAGCCGGGTCTAGTTACCGTATTATACATTATGAGACTCCGACCAACCACGAAGTGCGAGAGAAAATACATTTTGGTCTTTTCTCCGAGAAATGTTGGACGTCGGCTGCTTTTTGATTGTGCCCACTGCTTCTGCTATTTCAAGTGTCTTCTTGCTGTTAAATAACCAATCTGGAATCTGAGGACCTCTGATCAAACAACCACGGTAAAATGACCCAACTGGGACACCTGCGAAACCACACAAGGAACCCAGCATGTTCTCAACACCTATCACAATGTACCGCGTATTCCCATGACAAGCCCTAAAATCAAAAACAAGTCAATTTATATTTTCCTTTTATTTTCTTTGTCCGACGAAAAATCCGCCTCTGGTTCCAATTGGTACGATTTCCATGTTATAAAACCCACTACAGTAAAGTATACTAAGCAATATACGACGACCAGTGCCCTGCAGACATCTAGCGCGAACCCATATGAAGTATGGTCGCTTTCTGGGATCTCAGTGAGCTCTGTCTGTGCAGTGGTATCTTCAGACGTGATGATCTATAACAAATACATCGTATATGTTAGAAACGGACCAAGTCAGATACATTGCTAAAGACACATCGCTACTTCAACCCTGAATCCTAGGTATCGCGTAGTTGGGAAATGAAGATAGGATTTTTAGTATTCAATATAACAACACGGTCCAATAAAACACGACAATTGTAACAACCACACGTACAAAGGAAATAACCCAGGAAGCGTCTTGACAGACTGAAGCAAGTCACCTATGTTCGATCCCTATGTTTGTGCCGGGTAAGTCAGGTAAAGTCACGGTTATTTATTCCAACAAGTAAAAAGAAAAAAATCATGCAATATCTATATATATATACATATAATATTTACATTACTGGGAAAGGGAAGCCGCGGGAAATCAAAACTGGTTATCAAGTAGCGACGCCCAAGGTTCTAACACCTAATTAAACAGATTGAGAAAGAGAGTTTATAAATTACCGATATTAATAGTAAATACCATATGAACTTTGAAATTAGCCAACTAACATCGATTATTACTAGAAATTACCGTGCATTAAATGAGGCAAAAGACCAGCGAATAACTGGGGAATCCGCGTTTGCACTGGAATACCAACAGGATGTTAGCTAAAATGCTAAACCAAAGGCTATAGTGCTTAATTTTAGTCAAAGTCAACACTTACCATAATTTCTTCCGCGTCATTTTCATAGAGGTCCCATTCAATCGTTGGACCCTAGGAATAAACATAACTTATTTAGCACGTTTATCAACAAAACTGACGAAAAAAATCACAAAAAAACTTTAAAATTTTCCAACATATATTTGAAAACAAAAACATTCTTTACGTCTTAAGGCGTTTCGTTTTCAGCAACTCCAGTAAAAAGGCTGTCTAAGTTAGCGCCCCCATTTCGCCGAGTTTGAAAATCGGTGTTCACGGAAACCTATGGTCCCGCCAATACAGTCCAGTGGTTCTGCAAGTTTCCATTCAAATCCGAGAGCTTATATTATTATATTATATTGATTGTTTGACTAAAACTGATAGGTCACTATTATTGAACTTTCTACACATAAAAAGTTATTTTGTTTATTAGGTTTGCTTTTGTATATACTTAAAATTTACAGTTCAGACAATGAAATACAAATGAACTATCGAGGGCACAGGGGTTCTTTCGATTTACGCCTACGGAAAAAAGGTTGAAAATCACTGTCCTAACTTAATGAAGATTTAGTGAATTCTCGTTGGAAGGTTCAGCAGTTAATGACGTACACAAAAGATGGTGTTGTTTGAGTCTTTTATGTTCTATTTTCAAATAAGAACTATAAAAACTTCAATATCAATAAACTAGGATTGCTCAAACATATAGACACGGAAGTCGCGTTTCCTATTAGTCTTGAGTTTACCGAGTTTGCTGGAAGAGATCCGACGGGGTAGAGAAATATGGAATAATACGTCTCCCGTCAATAAAAAAGAAAACAGCAAACTGTTTGGTGAAATACCGGGTCCCATTAGACTCAAAAATAACGGAAACAGTCCTCTGTAGCTGTCCTAACCGTCTTCAAGTACAGATATTTTAAAAACCGGTTGGTTGCGAATAAAACCGTTTTTCTCAATGGCAATCCCTTTAACAACAAGACTTACAACCAGTACGGGGATTCAAGGTGTTCGCGCGAAGTCGTCCCTGAAATGTGGGACAGTCATAGGGCCTGTACTTTTTTTTTTTAGATATTAGATATTAAACGACCGCAGCAAATGGGTTTCCAAAGTTATATTATTAGATTTATGTAAAGCGTGTTATGTTGATGCAGCTTACGTCGTGAGATACATACGTTTTCTAAAATGAGGGAATATATAGTTAATGAGCTCAATACATAAGAGAACCCGCAAAATTATTGAATCCTACACTGTTCACTGCACCCCATGAATTTGGCGAAAGAATTAATATTTACTTCGCGACAGAAAAATATCCGTAGTGACTCATTCTGGCTCTATTCTTACCTCGTCGTATTCAAAATCAAGGCTAAACCTCTCGCTTTGAGAAGCCATCTTGCGGCCTTGGCGAAGGCCTCAAAAGTTGATATATTTTCTCCGTAAATAATATTTTTTCAGCCGGTACACTTCCTTGACCAATGCATGCCGCCGTCTAGTCCATAACAGAAAACGTCTTTTATGCAAATGTTATATTTTAACGCGTTTCTAACGATTTTTTACATTGCTTTATGACGTCACAAACATATACGATATTTTGTTCCAGGCAGGTTAATGGTTTGCGAATATGCGTTTGCTCCAACCTATAAAGAGTTATTTATACTTTTAAGTTTTCTTGGCAATTTGTTTTTAATAATATATTGTCTAATTTGTAAGATAGAATAAGGCTCTGTGGTTACTTCGCAAATAACGTGCCAATTGCTTCTGAGTCCCGAAACTTGGTATTGCCTTTTTCGTATTAAGTGATGTTTATTGAATATATTCACCTTAATGGCTGATAACAAAAAAACAATTTGATTTGATGAGATATTTAAAATTGATTTAATTTTAAGAATTAAATCATTGTGATTGCGTATTATCAAAGGTTTATGCTCGTTTCGAGAAATCTGGCACTAAATCTTGACTCCAACCACCATTTTTTTATCCATTTAATTCTTTTTGTTTCTGTCTATTTTGTGGGGGTGTTTCACGATTCGCTGATTTTAAAAGATTTCAAGACGAAATTCTAGGTTTTCAAGGAGCCCTCATTGGCTGTATTACATGAGTAACGCCAGCGATGACTCGGACACTG